ATTACAAATTATTTTAATGGACATTGCAGAATTTGATTAAGTCTTGCCTTCTCTACTTACTTAAACTTTATTTTGGTTAACTTATAAAAATATTCTTCTAGCTAAAGTGAAAACATGTAGCTAGCTCATAGCTGTGGTGAGTTGTATAATTATTCCTTTTACCAATTTTGGCTGAAAATTCGTGAACCAATAGATGATGCAGTTGTTAAAAAGGTGAAAGAATTACATCACATTGGAGTGAAAACCGTTTCTGAAGTCCAACGTCATTTGGAAAGCTATGTGAAAAATGAAATGTTTCGAGTTGAAGATACACCATCTTTAGCAAGGCGGAGGTTTTACCCAACAGCCAACGATATTAGAAATATATTGAATACTAAACGTTTGGGAAACAGGCATGCACCGGATGACCAGGAAAATCTTGTATTTTTTTGCGAAGAATGGAAAAAAGCAAAGCCATTGGATTCTATTTTTTATCGGGTAATTATTTCATCGTCTTTAAGCTTGTACAAAGAACAATTGAAAGTTCTGCAAGAGATTACAAAGTTATTCTGTGTCTGCTTCATTCCGACAGCAAAAATGTCAGTGTATACCTGATTTTTCTTGTGATAATTCTTCTTGTTTAAAGGTTTTGCTGACTTCTCCTGAAACCCTGCTTCGCCAGAGGAGAACAAATAGTATGTTTTGAACAAATAACTAATGTTTTGTTTTGTAAACAGAGGTTTTGTAACAGTAACTTACTTTCATAATTTTTTATTTTCAGCCATCTTCTACAGATACATCAAAATTTCTCTTTGTCTATCAGTCAGAGTGGATGAGACGTCTTATTCTTTTATATGGACAGGAGATGTGTCTTTTGGATGCCACCTACAGAGTTTGCAGGTGAAGTAATCAAATTCTGCTACATCTCTTGTACTAGAATTCGTTAGAAATTCAGTATGCCAAACACTATATTTGAATTTATCAAAAGTTTGGAAAAACAGGAACAGCTTAGAGTCAACAACATATATTACCTCTTTGATGAAACCTAAAATGTTTTCCTTGCTAAAAATCAACTAATACTATTTCTTACAGATATGCCATACCACTGTTCTTTCTTTGCGTCAGAGCAAATGTTGGGTATATCGTTGTCGCAGTATTCATTCCCGAGAATGAAGATATTCCCTCTATAGTAGAGGCAATTGAAATGATCAAAAGAAATAATCCGCAATGGAAACCAAGAAATTTCCTTGTTGACTTCTCGATGGCAGAAATTCCTGCGATTGAAGAGATCTTCCCCAGTAAGCATCATTCAATCACTATTTGGCTATAAAGCATATTTTATAGACAGCAACATTTACTTTTTGATGCATCTATTTCATTTAACATGTTTCAAGTGCATATTGAATCCATGTTAGAATTGAGAAAAGAGATACAACTGATTTCAGCAAAGAGTGCTAGACTGTCGTTATGGACATCAATGAAACCAAAAGTTGATAACATAAAAACGAATTGCAGGAAATATTATAAACATCAAGTGACACTGTTTTCTTTGTGCTGTTCAGTTCAGTAGTGTTAATAAAGTTGTTATCCTAGAAATTAAAACTTACATCCTCAATACTAACCATATTGATAAAAATGATGTACTTTACTTTTTTGCAGAATGCCATATTCACCTGTGTGATTTACACCGTGAAAAAGCTTGGCAGGATTGGCTTTCAAAACATGAACATGGTGTGCGCGACATAAAGGTCGAAGTTCTTGTTTACCTAAGACGAATTGCCAGTAGCCTTGATAAAAATATTCATGACTTCAAAATGAGTTCTGTTTGGCAGAAATCAAATTGTTTGCGTGCTTATTTTACTAATCATTGGGAAAAACATCTTGAGGTAATTAAACAATATTTTAATTATCAATTATTTCAATTAATTATCAATTTAATACATTGAATAATTCATAAAAAATCAAGCATGAATTGTTTATTGTTAAATAATACATAAAATTATATTTGCATTAGAATAGCCATTAATACAACCAAATATAAATAACAAAATCCTTGCAATTGAGGTAAAAGCTACTGTGGTGTGGAAGGTTCATTGGCATAACCTATAAGAAATGTTTAACATGATGCTATACCACCATGCTATAACATGATGCTAACCTTGCTCTACCAAGTGAATTTTTATCAATTTTAAGTAAAATACCATTGAAAGACTCCATCTAATTCTAATTGCAGAAATGGGTCAAATTTTATCGAGAAGCATCCTGGCGTGTAGCTATCTGTACGAATAATTGCATTGAACGTCAAAACCGTTGGCTGAAATCATCATATCTGGAGAGCAAAAGGAATTGCTCAATTTCCGAACTTGTTGACACATTGCTTAATCAATTCCTACCAGATAGTTACAATAAGTAAGTATAGTCCTTTTTTGTCCCATGTACTTGTAGTAAATCTGTGGCATTGAAATATTGTAGCAGTTGTAACATTGTAGTATTAAAGTAGCAAAGACTTGGCATTGGTTCGACAAGAATAAGTTAATAGTTTAATTAAATAATATCCAACCTAGTATGCACAAAACATTTAAAAACATGTAGCTATGGGTAAGCGGCTTTCAAAAGCTGGGGGATTAGACACACTGGAATTCAAAATTTGATCATTATGTCAAAATTATGTCAAAAAATTTGACAAAGTTGGTCCATGGCTTTGGTGGTTTGCTTTGCAACGGATATCATAACAATATATTTGATGGTATAAAATGATGATTGCAAAAATAATTTCTCAATTCTTTGTTTTTTACAGATACAAAGAGTTGAATTTAATTTCATCTGCAATGTATCGGAAATACAATTCTTCAGTGCCACAATTTTTACATAATCGACCATCAGGTGTAGTACGACATATAATGAAAAGAATGTCTCTTGGGTATCCCATCGAAAAAATTTCACCAATCTGGTCCAAAGCTCTTTGCTGTTGAAAGTGAACTGCAAACAGAAAAATACCAAGTATGGCTTGGTTCAGATTCATATCTTCCATCATGTCAGTGTCCTGACTATAAGTACAACAAGTTGCCTTGCAAGCATATATGTGCAGTTGTCAATATACAGGGTGTTGGTTGGGAAAGTCTTGGCAAGAGTTTCAAAAGTCATCCACTCTTCATGCTTGACCCAGTCATCTTGAATGGTATTAAAAATGTAAAGGAGCAGGACACAGCTGAAACGTTGCCAGAAATAGAAGTTGACTCTGGTGAGGAAATGAATCACATTGAAAGCCAGGAATCACCAGATGGAGATAAAACCAGCATCCACCAGGACCTGAAGACTGTAAAAGTATGTCAACTAAAAAATCGGAAACAAATGCACAGGATGAGTGGAAGAAATAAATGTGTTCATCTGTCAGATGAACTTTATGTTGTAAATACTAACAATGTTTTTGAGAAATTAGAAGAATAATTGAAGGAAGCCATTAACTATGCAAGACAAAATCGACCAATGTCCAATTAATTGCCATTAAAAGATGTCACATGCTCACCGACAAAAAGGGCAAAAAGAAGCACAGGAATTAAGAAACTTAAACTTAGAAAAAGTAAGAAAATACTTTCGAAATTTAATAAGCGTGTTGGAATTGTAGCAGAGAGAAGACAACAAATGGTGAAAATAAAAGGAATTACCCCGTACAAACATGAAGGCAAGAAAGTCTTAACAACGAAAGTAGCAGAGAACAACTTAATGGAAGGTAGAAAGAGAGGTATACTCACTGAACTACTTGGTCCAATCAATGTTGATGAGATACCTGACATGGCAGAAGATAACTCTTTATGGGTTAAGATTAATGGCATAAAATTGTCAAGACAGCTTCAAGATGAACACATTGATGCAGGCCAAGATCTACTCAAGTCTTTGGGAAATGGTATTGCAGGGCTTAACAATACAATAGCCATGGCACATTGCAAATTGATTAATGTTGCCAGAGAAAACCACCAAGCAATTCAGTGTCACAATACTGGAAATCATTGGGTTGTATCCTCCTCAATCAACGGGGGCAATGTTGTTGTCTACGAAAGCATGTCTACTGGCTTAAACAGAAGTTTGGAAAATCAATTGCTCCATATGTACGGCTCATTAAGCAAAGAAAATGGCTTGCTAAATGTCACTGTCATTGTGCAGCAGAAGCAAAGTTGTGGGAGTGACTGTGGTCTATTCTGTCTTGCAAATGCAACTGCACTTGCTCATGGCATAGATCCTTGCACAGTTTTATGGAATCAGGAGGAGATGAGACCTCACCTTCTGGAGTGTCTTCAGCAGAAAAAAATGGAAATGTTTCCACACATCAAAGCTACTATCACCCATGCACAGAAGTTGTACCATCTTAGCATGTTCTGCACCTGCAACAGACACTTTGATGGAGCAACACTCATCGAATGTAGCAACTGCAAAAAGAAATATCATTTGGAAAATCCAAAATATATTACTGTTACAGCAGCACAAGCTGCTCAAATAATGACTGATAACATGTTCCTTTGTACAAAATGCTTGTGAGTTTATATCAACAAAAGCCATACCAAGATTCAAAGATTTTCTGCCTCTGTTTGTATGCTCTGGTTGCTCGTGGAACTTACATCGCCAGACATGAATATCTTTTCTAAAATAAGGCAGATTTAAGTAATCAAATTTATTTTTCTGATATAATATTATTCATATTATATATATACTATTATAATATATATATATTTATTCAGAAGGCCAAGGCTTACAGGAGGAAATAATTTCCACATAGGTGCTGCTGCTGCCCAATTGTAAAATTACTGCACCTGGTCGTCATCTTATATATATATATATATATGGGCAGCACCCTTGTGGAAAGAATTTTCCTCCTGTCAACATTTGCCTTCCAGATTGCGTTGTCTATTCTGACGTGACAGTGCTCGATGTGCAAAAGCACAGAGCAATAGATATAATAAAAGAGAATATAGACTAGAAATGAGACATGTTCTCTGTTACTCCGAGTTTCGTGCTTGCGCACTCATCAGACAGACTATAATGAAGAGTATTCCTGTTACCGCGGTATAAATATACAAAAGGTGTGATAAAGTTAGACAAAAGAAATTTTATTAGATACAGGTTAATTAGTTAGGTGGAGTTCTATTGTTCATGAGATAAAACTTGTTTTCGTGTTGGCATTTGGAGATTAATTCGGATCGTTTGTTTAGAAGGGTGTTGTTATTTGCTTTGCTGATGTATAGTTTTTCTGTTAAGCATAGGTCACACCTTTTTGTAATGTTGTTGTATGGTTTGGCTGAGGTGATGATGGTCCATTGTATGTCATAATCCTTGTTTTTGTCTTTAAGTTCCCAGATGTATTTTGATAGTTCGGTGCTGTTGGCGTATTTTCGGTTGCGGAATGAGAGTTGGTGTTGTGTAAATCGTTGTTTGAAGGTTCCTTCTGTTAGGCCAATGTAGTTTTTGCTGACAGTGTCTTCGGTTGTAGTGATATATGCGTTGTAGATGATGCTGGAAGAGAGGCAGTTGTTGTCTAGTGGGCATTCGTCTTTTTTTCGGCAGTTGCATGTTTTCTCGTTGGTGGTGGTGGGATTGGTGTTGATAATTTTCTTGTTGTGTTTGTTGATGATGGTTTGCATATTATCCATACAACTGTAGCTGACTTTCACATTGTTCTTGTTGAAAATCTGATGGAATTTGTGATTTTTGGGGAAGTGTATGTGTATGAGCTTGAGGAAAGTTCTGCCGATGTTAGTTTGTACATTCTTGCTGTATGGTGGGTTGTACCAGATTATGTTGCGCTGTCTTTTTCTTCTTTTACGTGTGGGTGATGTGTGGTCGTTGTATTTTAGTGTGTCGAGGTATCCACTGGCTTTTAGGGCGTTTTCATAGATGGGCTTTGCTTTGTTAAATTCACTTTCGTTGCATGATATGTCAGTTATTCTACGGTTGATTGATCCAGGTAAGTGCTTTATGATGTTGGGGGGATGGTTGGACTTTGTATTGATGTATAGTGGCTGGTCGTTGGGCTTTCTGTATGGACAATACAATTGATTTGTTAAGTGTTACGTCGAGGTAGTTCACAATTTTTAGGTCTGTATGGTGATGTTGAGGCCGTGAGTCTTGAAAAGTTTTGTAATGTCCTTCCTGATTCTCTCTGCCTGTGGACCAGGAGTGTTCTTAAAGACAGCGAGTCCGTCGTCTCTGTATAGACCTATGTTGTCTTTTCCGTATTTTGCACCCAGCTTTTTGAGGATGAAAAGACCAACCACTTCACAAATTCCCGCTTCTTCAAAGCTCCCTATAGTCACATCGAACATATCGAACATAGTCACATCGAAGGATCAAGCAATTGGTACGTCTACGGCTCTGGTTGTTTCCCCGCTAAACGCTTTGATGTTTGACCAAATCGAAAAGCTGAAAGCCACAGCTGTTCCAGGGGCTGCTATATACGAAAGCCAAACGCAGGAAGTGCTGGAAGAAATTGGGAATGGCGACTATTCATTAGTTTATACATCTCCAGAAAGCATGTTGGCCTCCGATCATTGGCGATCAGTGCTCTCTAGTGAGGAGTTCCGAACAAACTATGAAGTGATTGTAATAGATGAAGCTCATTGCATTGTCCACTGGTAATGAAATTTTAGGTTATATGGTTGCTGCCTTTATTTTTTAAGTTATAAACCTTTACATTAAAATTATCAAACATTCCAATAATAGATGTGTAAATGAATAAAATATATGCAGCATAATACAAAGCTAGTATATAATATACTATATACAAACATAGGTATTCAAATTCAGTATATAATATACTATGCCAGTCATGCTATGCTGTTTCAGAATGTAACTAGAGTACAAATACCATGGCAAGATTTAAAATATAAATAACAGAAAACTTTTCCAAGAGAAGCTGGTAAAAAGCTATTGGAAATTGATGATGGCCATGTCAGATGAAATGTTAAGATACCATGTGAAATAGGCACAACCTTATGAAGAAATTATTTCAGTAAAACTATTTGATCAATGACAAAGCTTTGTGAGTGGGACAGCAGGAATCATTTCAATATTATTTTAATTTATTGCATTACAGTCACAATTTTGTTTTCCCACAGCTTCAAACATATACACTGAAGTTATAAATATTTAATTTAAATAATAAGCAATATTAGCATCTCTGTGTAAATGAATAAATGTAAGAAATCACTAATGTCCTTAGCCTGACTTAAGTATTGTTATTTGTCTTTATTTCAATAAATCAGTTAGTTTTGAATTTTATTTGCAGGGGTACAACAACAGATGTGAATAAATCAGCACCCTTTTAAGTTATTATAGCAAACTTGTTGAGCTAAAATCTCTTTTAGAAGCCACGTATTGCAATATTTACTGGAACAAATATGCAGCAAACATACTTGCTGTTATCCACCATGTTTTCAAGGACTTTGAGCTCAATTTGACGTATAATGACCTTTGTGGAGAAGAAGACCATGAACTCGATCATGGTGATGATAGTTATTGTGGAGACTCAAACATCACTGAAATGCATAGTGCAGCTTTTGATGGTATAGATTGTACCGACACAGACCTTGATGTTTCGACAGATATGGAACAACAGGAAGAAATCAACAGTGCACTAGAACATATTGCTGAAGAAGCTAATTTACAAATAAAGTTTTTATAAACAATTAGAAGCTGTTAAATACAGCCAATATATAGAACAAAATGCACTCTACAACCAATATGCTCATGGATTTGTTTCTTTAGATTTTAAAGGATCTATCTTGCTCTATCTTTTATGAATCAAAATTATTTATATGAGCCTGAAATGTGACCTTTCAAAATCATTAAAAGAGCTCCAACTGAATCATATTCAAACAGACCTTTTTGTAAGAAGTGACGCATGCTCGAGATTTTTCTTGCATGAGCAATTGCTCCAGGGAAAGATAACCAATGACATTAATAAAAGTTAAAAAATGCTAAAAGCGTCCATAGTGTTTATAAAAACTACATAATCCTATTGAAAGGTACTTTGGTATACGTTAACATCAAAACAGTGACAATTATCTTTAATGCACTCCAAGAAAGATTAAATACCCAAACCCAATATTAAAATACTCGGTGTATTATGTTCATTAAGAAGGCCATTTAGAAATAATTGCAGGATAATTGCAAATGTTGTACGAAACATTAAAAAACGCTTTAACAGCCCAAAAAATGCCCTAAGTGCTATGTAGTTCAAATACTATCAGAACCTATACTATAATATTCCTAAACATTAGCAGTGGAATGGATTTTCAAATGCATTTTTTCATTAAGATGTGGTCAATTCAGCTTACTTATATTTCCTGTGTTTTGATAAAACAGCTTTGAATCCTCTAGGTCACTTGCTTGGGTTGCCAAAAATGACTGAAAATGTGTCAAATTGATAAAACATTTTGCACAAACAAACAAAGGCTAGGCAGTTAGATTTCTGCGAGTGCTGACACAAAAGGCAGGGAATAACTTTTGAAACTCACCACTAATAAACAATAAACTCTATTGTATTTTTGTAGACATGAAAAAAGTGGGTATGGACATATTACACTATTGTTGATATATATGACTGTTGGCTCTAACATCCCTGACCCCTGAAATCATTTGTTCAATAAACTGTTTTTGAAAGGTGGTCCTCAACGTGCAGTTTTCTTTTTTCTCACCAAGTTCACATGGTTGCTTATCCACTTAAAGATGCCAGAAATGTCTAAATCAGAGATCAAACTTTTATTGAAATCTTGATAATGCTTGTATTTACGTCCAGGAATCTTCTTGAAAGCCTGTCACTCAATAAGCTCTTTGATAATTTTTTCCATATCACGAGAGACATAAGGTACATTATGCCTACCACCTTTAGCAACAAAGCTGGTACCTTCATCCCATTTCTCAATAACTGCCTTGCTTGTTGCCAAAGCTTTGCAGTATCTGTCAACTACCTGATGGTTAGATGCATTTGGCCCAAGCATTCTGATGACATTTTTAAGCAGCCTATTGAAATTCTCCAGTGCCAGATCGAGTGGTATGTTGCCTCGAAATCCACTTTTGTTTTTCACAAACCTGTTCCACATTAGTCTATGTGCTGCTTGCTCTGAAAGAAGACAGTACCTCTGGCAGATCAAGTACATGCACTCAAGTGCATATTTTGAACTTCTTCTACCGTCACCTTTCAGATAAAGCAGCATAAATTTCCAGCTTCTAAACAGTTTTTCTCCATCACCTTCTGCAATGACATCAAAAATTTTTTTTACCACCATTCCATACTCCAAAAAGGCAATTTGGTAATGGAAGATGTCATCGCTGTTAGCTGAACCTGAACTGTGTGATGCCTCATGGAGCCTTTTTGCGTTGCAATTTCATTTGAAAATCTTTCTGCAACCAGAAAACTTGCACATATTGTTTTCATTATGGTTGTTGGAAAAACAAGCTTCGGCAGATTTTGCTTGTTGAAGAAGTTCTGTTAGCTAAATGCAAACGAATTATATATTTTCACAAGTTTTAAGTGTAGGCTTCTGTTACCAGGAGGGTGCTTGCAGGTTTACCTACTTGGGTTTATAAAAAGGTTTGTTCATAATGATTTTGACATAAACAATGTGAAAGGGCAACATCTTGCTAAGATATTACAACTCGTGAACTCTATACTATAAAGCATGCATAACAAGTTTTCAAAGCTAGAATCAGTATCAAATTAGTTCTAAGGCAAACCTTGTCAAGCTGGAGAATGTATGTGTCAACAATTACTGCTGAGAGTTGTTCCAAGAATTTTCTCTTATTCTCCACAGTTTCATTATTCAAATAAGAAGGTGATTCTCTTGTGGAACACCATCAAGTGACTGCAACTGGAGAATTTCCATTGTGGCAGCTATTATTCTGCACTCCACTTCCATGAGAAAAAACTGTTTGAATGCAGCATACCTTGATCTGACATCTGATCCTACATTTCTCCTGTTTATCAAAACACTGTCAGAGTGTGCAGTGATCAGATGCAGCAGATCCACTATAAAAATTGTCAAATCCAAGCTTTAAAAAAATAAAATGACTGTGATTAGAAAACTTATACTATTAAAATGAAAGAAATAAGCATCCAATTTTCATATCTAAAAAGTTGAATAAAGGCAATAACCTGTTTTTTTAAAAAGCCATCTAGTCATCGATAGGGAAAACAGTTATTTTTTGAAAAAAAAACATTTAATAACAAACAGAAGCTGTTTGTATTGGCTAGGAAATATACCCAGTTTGGGATCGAAATACATGATGACATAAACCACATGACCAATAATCCAAAACAAACATTTTATTTTTGTTCAAATAAAAACATCACTGAGAAAAAATATGGTATAGTTTCATCAAAAGGGTTTTTTTAAAAATGTGAATTCTTTTAACCTGTAGAAATTTCATTGCTGCTTGAAAATCTGCTATCTCAAAATGGAGACCTTCTAAACGTTCTTCCTTGGTGAAACCATTAGAAAGCTCCAATAGGCAATTCACTCCCCTCTCAACAGACAGTTGGTCTCCAACTACTCCTTGCTCTGCAAATAATTTTTCATTTTCCATTTCCTTTTTAGGCACTAATTCGTGTAGCACATGCAACACTTTCTGGATCCCATCTGAATCATTTTCGTTTTCATAGATGCAACCATGAAAAGTCTGAAATGTAAAGTTAGGGTCAAATTAATACTTGTTTTTGAAGCTGTGTCTACAAATGTATAATCAAAAATCGTTACACGAAGACTTTTCATACATCATAAGAAGTTGATTCACAAACAAATAAGGTGAATCTTAATTCATATTGTTTATCTGGATATGCACATGAATATAACTAAGACATATGTGTCCTAACCTCAGCACAAGAAGGGCAATATAAGCACATAACATGTCTTTCAATAGGAATTAATTCATTGAGACATTGCAAATACTGTTAAGTATCCATTCCTATCTCATGAAGGGCTTGTGTTCATAAAGAAGACTGTATTTACCCTACATTTGTTCGATATCCCTAAACACTCAAAAGCTTTGCCCTTCTAAAGGTGAATAGCACTGTACAGTGATCAACAATTTTATCTTTTATTGACAGAAGGTGTTTCTTATTAACATCTAAACAAATTAATATACATAACAGAAAGGCTGCTTATTTGAAAATATATATCACCGTTTGTGTAGGCTTGTTGGTAAGATCCGTGTATCTACGTTTTATGTGTTTCTTCAATGTTGGTAAAAGAAATTGGCGACATGGAATGTGTGTTGAGCAAAGGCGTGCCACAAGAAAGACATAATCGTCTCGTTGGGCTTTATGCTCTATCTTGTTTGGTAGGAATTTCCCATATTCCAGTTCACTAATGTTTCCTGGTGGTTTTTCACTTCTTAAATCATTGCCTGAAACTCTATTTTGAGTTGTCATATAGGTCACCCAATGGAACATTGAATTTTGATGTTCCTCACTCATGTGGTGTACATTTTGCTGGTAGTCTATGTTGTCGAGGACTATCTTCCAACCTTTATTTGCTACAGCAAAATCAGGTAGCTTTCTGCATGCTACAACCCTTTCTTCTTGATCTTTTTCAATAGTTTCTTCATGCAAATCCCTTTTGCTACTTAACATTTCTCCTGCTCTAGAAACTTGTTCCAAGATTGATGAATCTTGTAGCTTACCAAATTCATCTAACTTTTTGTGTAGGCATGGGTGGGAGACAGTCAGTTTCACTACTCGAAGTCTGGCAATTGCTGCCTAAAAAATTCATTAATGTCTTTATATTTTATAATCAAGATCTCAAAATGAAAAACAAAACCACTCATAAAGAATGCTACATAATTTACTAGCAGCATTTAAAATTGGATATTTCCAACAACTTCAGATGATATATTTTTGGCTTTTTCATATAGTGAGCGGGTAGTAATCAAATAATAAACCTCCAACTCAACAAGCCAGAACATATTTTGTTGGGCAAATCTCTTACTTGGCAATTTCAACTCTAACACTAAAGGGTTGATTTTACCTTATGCTGTTGATTTTCCACATGCACAACAGAAGATCTTTAACACAAGTGCAAGTATACAGGGTGTGAAGCTGGGTGTTGTTTCTACAGCACAATCCCCCTTACTAATGTTTTAGGACAGCACTGCAAAGCAAGTCAAAGCAAGAACAGACAAATGTGTCAAAAACTTTGCCTAAAGGGAGGTTTTGGATCCTAATTTTTAAATTGCAAATACACCTCTTGTAGTAATGTTCAGCACACAGTCAATATGTTTTTTAAGAATTTAAGAGTTGATACTCACTGTTAGGCTACAATGCTGTAGTATAATGGAGATTATCAGCTGCAGCCCTGAGAGGTGAGATGATCGTGTTTTGGCACAAATTGCTACTGCCATACAGAGTGGTTGAATCCACTTTATGTTCTGATTCATACCTGTTTCTTCATTAATAAGCCCTGTCTTTCGGTTTATGTCACATTTTCTGAGACACGCTGTTTTAATCACTGCATGCAACAATGGGCACTTTTGCTTGAGCTCTTTATTTAACTCCATGAAGCTGAATTTGACGATGTCATCTTTCTTCACTGCACGAAGCATACTTGGCGATTTTCGTGCACACAGGACAGCACATTCTTTGTTGATAACTTTCAAGGCTTGAGTTATCATGTATGGCCTAATCTGATCACATCTCCATGCAGCCGCAGCGATTTGTTTGAAAGTTCCCCTTAGAAGCATTTTGCCAACAGGGTTTAGAGATGGGCATAATTCCCTTCTTCTCGTTTCATTTTGCCATTCAACTTCTACAGAAACCTTAGGGTAGTTCAATGCGTTAGCCTTCTGCTGAAAAGGTAAGTTCTCTTGGTTCTTGTTTGAACTCTTAAGAATAAAATTACATTTATTCGTTTGTGTGAACGCATGTTTCTTAGAGAGAGGCGTGGAACAAAATGACGATCCGACGAGTCTAATCTTAACAGCAGGTTCTTCCAAAGTATTACTTTTAACTTGAAGTAAAGATACGCTGTTGTATCTATTTTTTAGCACTTTGTCTATATCCTTAAGTTTCAAACGAAACGAGTGTCGTTTCTTCAAAATAGTAACGCAATATTTGCAAATGTATGGAGACGAAAAAGCGACGGTGAAGGGCAAGTCACTAATCTCGTCAACGGCTTTGAAGCTAGCTCTACCATCAACCAGATTCCTGTCGTTTGCTTGGATAAGTTGTTTCGCACGGAAAGCACAATTTTCTAACTCTGCCCCGGCCATTTACTTCGAGGTAATGGAAAACCACAATTATCACAGCTACGGTGTTGTTTTTTAATTATGCAGAATTATTTCATCGCATAGCTAATTTTTCCTCGATATCTAGGAAAATGCTCGGACAAGGTTTTGCGCTCGGTTACACAGACAACTATTTGGAGTCTGGGGCTCAGGCTACGTAAATTGGGCCCACGTAACCTATTAAAATTTAAAGTTAAAGTTGTTTGCGAGCAAGAACTTGACCGCCACGTTTTTGCTACTTACACTAGAATGAGGCTAGACAGGGGTTACATAATTACTTACAATACATTTTTAAGTGCTATTTCTAATACAACAAGATCATGTTTAATGCAACTGTCATTCCAAGAGTGCCTGCTAGCGAAACGCAAAAAATTCACCTACTTAGATGTGCATCAGCACCCTTCGATTTTCTAAAAACAGGGAAGATTCCAACGAGAAAGAATCATTTTGTGCCTCTTTTGCCTACTGTTTCGTCTTCTGAGAATTGTCCAAAAAAGAAAAGAAATGTCGTTAAAGAGAAATTTTTGTCAAAAGTGCCCAAGAATCAACCTGTGCTGTCCAAGCTTCCCCTTAACTCTTTATCGAGTCGTCCGGTTAAACGAAAACAGCTAAGCATTTTTGATTATATTCAAAGTAAAATTCGCCGTGTGGAAAAAGACAAAAGTGTATCAGCTTCATGCTCTGCATCTGAGAAGTCTACTTCAGAAGACATCAGCGCTAGATCTAAAAGGGATGCTCTTGAATTGAATCCTTCCGAAGATATTAACAACGATATCAGGAAATTTTACAAGATTACCATTAGTTTTGGGGCAGCTCAAAAATATGATCTCCTTTGCAATTTTTGGAAGCCAAATGGAACCTTTAAGTTTCCCGCCAATGCAGCTGGACGCAGGTTTCTGTTCAAGTGGCTGAGTGAGTTTCCTTGGCCTGCATATTCTCCTTCTTTGGAGGAGCACTTTCCATCTGTAGCGAGGAAGACAAATACAAGTTCATATGTTCATATGTTCATATTCAATCCAACAACTGAACTTTACAATTTAGATCTAATCATTCTATACAACATCACAGTTTGTTAATCAACACATCAAGACAGAACAACAGACATACTGTACAAACAACAGAGTACAAGGATTCATATAGAGATGATGACATTATTAAATTACATACAATAACAATCAGTTCCGGGAAGCACATGCTACACCCTCCCCTCCCTTGTACAAAAGGGTATGCAGTGTGTCTGTTTAATGTACCACAAACTCTCCAAATCGCCTTGGTGGATTTATAACTTGGCGAAGGCGTGCAGGTCTGGCAGTACCCTCAATCTGACCTCCTTGGCCCCCTTCCTGCTCATCTCTCTGTAGAGCTTCTCCTATCTGGATACCTGGTGTTTCAGGTACTGGATGTATGGGTTGCCCTTGGTCAAATGGAATGGGACATGGTTTGAGCTGGTTATGGTGAACCACAAGCAATTTCCCACTATTGGACTGGATATTGTAATTAACCCCTTGCCTGGAAACTATTTTGTATGGTCCAGTCCATCATCTCCCAAATTTCCAATGCTTAGGTCTCCATAACCAAACTGTCTGACCCGGTTCCAAAGGGGTCCAGGATTTGTGACCCTTGTCATAAAATGCACTCTGCTTCTTTCTAGCCTTCTCTAGCTGTTGTCTAGCAAGAATATTGGCATTCTGAATAGATTTTCTAAGAGACTGACTATACTCTGAATGATTTAAAGGGTTATACAGAGGGATGCCTAACTCAACTTCAAGAGGCATACGCGCTGGGTGACCAAATACAATTTCATAAGGGGAAAAACCTGTGGATTCGTGTACGCTGGTATTGTAAGCAAATACTGCCTGATTTAACCACTGGTCCCAATCATTAGGACTATCTGCTACAAAGTGAGACAGTATTTGCTGCAATGTGCGGTTTTGCCTCTCCACAAGTCCATCCCCTTGAGGGTGATAGGCGGTAGTACGAGATTTCTTAATTCCCATCATATCATAAATTTCATGCATAAGGGTACTATCGAAGTTTCGCCCCTGGTCTGAGTGGAGAACAACAGGGGGTCCAAACCGGGAGAAAACCCGAGACACAAGGATTTTGGCGACAGTGGAAGCTTTTTGGTCCTTAGTGGGGAAAGCTTCACACCACTTTGTAAAGTGATCCATCATGACAAGAATGTGACGATTACCATTTGCAGTTTCCGATAAAGGACCCATATAATCCAAAGCCCAGAAGAGAAATGGTTCACTAACCTGGATGGGTTTGAGAGGGGCTTTGGTTGATGTGGGGTTATCCTTACCTTGGCTGCACTTGATGCAATTATTGACAAAATCAGTGATGCATTCATCCATTCTGGGCCAGAAAAAACGTTCCTTAGCTCGAAGAAGAGTCTGTGTGATACCCATGTGGCCTGCAGAGGGGCTGTTATGAAGACCTTTAAGGACCTGTGGGACTAGAGACTGGGGAAGAACAATTCTCTGTCTAGTAAACCCCTGTTTAGAAGTATAGATGCGAAAAAGAAGGCCATTGCTAATATAAAGTTCATCCCAGCAATTCCATAATGATCTTAAAATTTTGTTGTCTTTCCAAACAAACAATGGTAACTTTGGAAAATGGCCTTCCTTCATTTCAAATACCTTTGAAATATCAGGGTCACTCTGTTGAGCTTGCTGCAAATTGGTGTGAGGAACTAGACCCACTAGACAGCTAAGGGCTAAGCTGTTATTGACATTTAAGGAGGCCTGATGTGACTGAGTAGCTGATGTAGTATGATTCAAACGAGAAAGTGCATCAGCATTTCCATTAGTGTAACCAGGCCTATGCTGGATGGTAAAGTCAAATTCTTGTAGATCCATAATCCACCTAGCAAGACGGCCTTTGGCCTCAACAGAATGCAACCATTTAAGGGCATTGTTATCAGTAATCAACTGGAATTTGTGACCCAACAGATAGGCTCGGAAATGTTGAGTTGCAAAAACCACAGCCAGTGCTTCCTTTTCCATGGTAGTGTAGTTTTGTTCCCTGGCTGTTAGTGTTCGGCTTGCATAAGAGACCACCCTTTCCTGACCGTAATTATCAAACTGAGCTAAGACAGCCCCCAGCCCAATATTAGAGGCATCTGTTTGAAGTATGAAAGGTTGATCAAAGTTGGGGTATGCTAAAACAGGGGCAGAACACAAAAGGTCTTTAATTCTTAGAAATGAATTTTGATGTGATTCAGTCCATGTAAATGGTATACCCTTTTTAGTAAGCTCAGTTAAAGGGGAGGCTAAGGATGCAAAGTTGGGAATTAATTTCCTATAATAGCCTGCTAAACCAAGAAAAGATCGGAGTTGTTCTAAATTTGTGGGAGGAGGAAGGCCCTGAACTGCTTTAGTTTTAGATGGATCGGTGTGAATTCCAGTACTTGAAACTGAGTGACCTAAATATATAACTTCATTAGCACCAAAAGAACATTTGGAAGCTTTGACTTTAAGGCCATGGGCACGAAACCTCTGTAAGACTGTTTGCAAACGACGGCAATGTTGGTCAATGGTCTTTGAAAAGATTATAACATCATCAAAATAGCATAAACATATATCATATGTTAGGCCTGATAATATAATGCCTATGGCTCTTGCAAATGTGGCTGGTGCTGTACATAACCCATAGGGCATCCTCAAAAATTCAAAAAGACCATGCGGGGTAATAAATGCTGTCTTTTGCTGATCTTCTAGGGACATACTTAATTGCCAATAGCCACTTCTGAGGTCTAGGGTACTAAACAAAGAATTACCATTTAAGGAGTCAAGTATATCATCAACCCGAGGCAAAGGGTGGGCATCATGGGCCGTGACTAGATTAAGCTTTCTATAATCGACACAAAATCTGTAAGAGCCATCCTTTTTTTTTACAAGAACCACCGGTGAGGCCCATGGACTGGTGCTAGGTTGCACAATTTCTTGCTGTAACATGTCCTTAACCTGTTTATCAACCTCATCTCTATAATGATATGGTAATCGTCGAGGATATTGGCGAATGGGGGCAAAGTTACCAGTGTTTATGTGATGCGACAAGACCGATGTATGACCTAAGCCATCATTAAAAACATCAGGAAAAGATATCAAGGTTTCAAGAATTTTCTTTCTATCATTTGTTGAAAGATTAGGACTAAGAGCTGTTTCTAACTCAGAACGAGTCTGATCATTTAAAACTGAAGGCTCAGAAAGGCTAGCACATAAACTATGGACTACACTAGAATTCTGGGGCTCAGCTACTAACTCAGATACTGGGCAAAACCTGGCAATCTTTTGACCTGCATGTAATTCAACTTCTGACTGTGAGGGATTTAAAATTCGAACTGTAATCTTTCTACCTGCAGCTTTACTGACTGTGTAAGCAATGAAACAACATAAATCGCTGGACTCGCCTAAACTACAAACCATACCCACTAGATTAGCACAACTTTTAGGAACCTTAGCCTGGATGACACTTTCTAAAATGGCTTTGAAAAAAGCAAACATTTTACAACATACTTAAAGCTTTTTCGTCTGACACTCCTCAGAGCATAAAACGTCAGAATAGGTTATGAAAAAACACGATGGAAAAATATATACCCAGTTGTGGATCGAAATAGGCCAATCAGAAAAACGCAAGCACAAGACCGGTATAGTTGACCAATCAGTGCCGCGAGCCTAAAGAAAAATTACCAATGGAGTCCAAGAGAGAAAACGAACTCCTTTTGTCTACACAATGACACTTTCTGTTCTACAGGGAAGAGAGATGCTAGATTCAACAGTCACAAAAACTGGACCATGGTCAGAAGACTGTACAAAAACAGGCAGGTTCCCTTGCTGGGGTAAAGCAGAGGAGCATGAGACCTCAGGGGTAGAGAGAGCAGCAGAGAGGGGCAAAGGTGCTAGAGGAGTACTGCCGTGTGGACCTACCAGGGAATAGGTACCCCCTAATACAGCAAGCTGTAAATGATTACCGGTAAGGAA